GACGGAGACAAATAATGTTTTTTTAAAATTATTTTAGTTTTTTTTATATAATGACTTATTTGATAATATTTTTATTATTTGTATATTTAAATTATATTCTAAATATATATATATATATATATATATATATATATATATATATATATATATATATATATATATATATATATATATATATATATATATATATATATATATATATATATATATATATATATATATATATATATGTATCATACATACATACATATATATATATATATATATATATATATATATATATATATATATATATATATATATATATATATATATATATATATATATATATATATATATATATATATATATATTTGTATATTTGTATACATATTTATTTAAGTATTTGTATACATATATATAATATACATACATTGTATGTATATTATATATATGTATACAAATACTATCTTTAGTTGAAATGCAGACAAAACTTGTTCTATAAAATGCTACTTATAAATAATTTGACATGATGATTTTAAAGAATCACTTACAAACCAAGCTGGCATTATAAACATTAAAATGTTTAAATTTTTATGCAGTTATTTATTAAGAAAAGCTGGTTAACAAAGAATTCACAAAAAAAAAATATTGTTGCTATGGCCGTTGCTAATGACGCTTTTTTATACTAACTAACTAACTATCCAAAAGAGATTAATTTTCAAAATGAGTTAGATAAAATTAGCCTTACCATAGTTAAAGTGAATTATTGAAACATTATATCACTTAAATATCAAAAAATTCATTTTTTCATAAAAAAAAACTTTTTTTTTGTGGTTATCCGCCTTTATTCGTACCGCGTTGTATGAAACCGTGTTATTTGGTAAATAACTTTGTTGAAGACCACGTTATGATAAACACAGAAAATATCAAAATATATAATTTTTAATATATAACTTAAATCGCGTTATTTGGAAACTTCTTCCGCTTTATACAGAAACCGTGTTAAAAGTCACATAGAAGTTTATAAATTGAATATAATATATAAATAAATTGAATCGATTCGTACGCGTTATATAGAATCTTAGAAATTAATAACTTTTTTTCAGTATATATATATATATATATATATATATATATATATATATATATATATATATATATATATATATATATATATATATATATATATATATATATATATATATATATATATATATATATATATATATATATATATATATATATATATATATATATATATATATATATATATACATAGTATATATATAGTGCATAAGTAGACTTAATTTAATCTAATTTTGTCGCATATGGTAAGTTATCTATTTCAGAAAATTAAAAAGTGAATTTAAAAAAAAATTCTTTCCAACAAGAAATTAAAAAGATGCATTGTAAGTTCAGTTTTTGTTCGTCATCTTTGTCAAGTAATAGCCGTCTAATCCGTCGTCTTTTATTTTCTATAATTGGCTTTCTCTTTCTCTAATTCTCTTTACTTTGAAAATTTTTATTTTGTAGTTCTTTCAAAACCTCTTTGTATAGAGCTAAGCAATTTTAAAATTCTCTTTTAAATTTTTCACTGCGTATTATTGTAGGACCATTTTGGGTTAATTGGAATTCTAATTCTTTAGCAAATCGAGCCCTTTTTTTAATCATAAATGAAGTTTAAAGCAGATTTGTTAAAAGTGTCTTCTTCCACATATTTAAGACGTAGACGTATCAATTAATTATTTTTCATTTAAGCTGTGTTCCTGAAGTAATTGCTCTATGTCTTGAACTTGTATATCTGCAACTCTTTCCTTGCCAAAAGTAAAAGCAACCTGTATTATTTCTGTTAATGTCTCTGAGATATTGTCTTCCTTTTCAACCATTTGAGGTAACAAAGTAACAAGCTAATGAAACAATTAGAGTGAAGTCTAAAATAGAAAATTCTTTTCAAACTTTATAAAGAGTTTTACATTCTTGATCCTCTAATCTACTGAATATATCTTCCAAAATATTTCGGTATGTAATATATTTTGCTTAATTTTAATAAAAAATGTTGTTTAGCACTACTTGGCAAATGATTTACTTTTTTTTTTTGCGTAAATAACGTAAGTGATGTAAATAATGTGTTGAAAAGTTCTCACAAATATCGCATTTGATCTAGATCACACCGCGTTAAAGGAAAAACTTTCACTTCACGTTAAATGAAGATCCGCGTTTTAGGAATACTCCGTCATAGAAGAGTTGATTGTAACGGGTTTGTTGGTTTTGTAACATCTTAGTAACATCTTAGTAACATCTTAGTAACATCTTATTAAGTTTTTTGAATGAAATTTGAGTCTTGAAACATCTAATTTGCTTAATATTTAATTAATAATATTAATACTTAATTTTGCTATAATATTGCTCGAAACACATTTTAGATAAACTCAACTGCTTGATGTTTACTTATTTAGTACTTTTTAGCGGTATGCTTGTTTTAAAAGTCATTTTTATTTCAAGTTTGTTTACATCTTTTATATAATAATATGAATCTTTAATATATAAAAATAAATAAAATGTTATCATAATCTTTCTTACAAAGATTTTTTAGAAAAAAATAAAAAATAAACTAGGAGTTTAAATTTCAAAGGACTAAACTATGACGAACTACACTGTGAAAAAAATTTGATAAAAATAGATAAGGCTCCAGACATTGGCGAGATTTGTAGCAGTTATAAACTTTTTCCCGATAATAAAAAAAACCGTGAAATATTTAAATCTTCAATTATTACAGGATCTGTCCCGGATAAATAAAAAATAGCAAAAGTTGTACCAATATTAAAAACCTGGGACTCAATTACACAAAATAACTAAAGACCTTGATTATTCTTTTCTTTTCAAAACTTTCAGAGCGAATAATTCATAACAAATTACTCAAGTATCTAGCAAATAGCAAAATCTTATTTTAAAAAACAATTCAGCTTCTAAAAGCAACACTCAACCGAAAAGGCAAATAAAAAAATTTGTACTCGGAATCTTTATTAGCTTAACTTAAGCGTTCGACACTGTAGATTATACAATCCTATATAAAAAGATGGAAAAATATGGGATAAAAAGTGTCTTTAAATAGTTTTTTTCTTAAGCAATTACGCATTGTTGTCTGCTAAGCAGACAACAATGCGTAATTGCTTAAGAAAAAAACTATTTAAAGTTGCTTAAAATAAAATGCGGTGTTCCCCCATTCTTAAAATAAAATGCGGTGTCCCCGAAGGTTCCATTCATATGCCACTTTTGTTTACAATATACATTAATGACCACCCAAAAGCCTCAAGAAAAATGTATGTCCTAATGTTTGCAGTTGATGGTACTTTATTTTATACGTCTAAATCTATTTCAGAACTTTTTGAAACTACAAATATTAAACTTGAAATACTAAACAATTGGTTCAAATCTAATCTATTATCATTAGGCACTAAAAAAACAAAATACATCCTTTTTCATTCCAACCAAAAAAAAAATACTGTTTACATTACTTTTGCTGAAAATAAAAAATCGCGAAATCGAGAGAACCCAAGCAACAAAGTTTTTAGGTATACTTATCAATGAGAACATTTCATGGAAAAACGTTCATAAATATGTTAAATAACAAGATATCAAAAAATATCGGAATGCTAATCCTATGCTGTCCCAAAAAAATTAAATTTTCTTTGTTCCTTTTTTATAAAAAGCTATTCTATATACGTTAAGATTGCATGGACTCTTGCATCCAAATTAGTCAAACTTGATGGAAATTAAAATCATGCTGCATGAATAGTTTTTGATAAAGATAAGTTCTCACATGCTAAGCCACTTTTAAAACACCTAAAAGCATGACATGTTTTTCAAGTTAATGTATTCAAAAATTTGATTTTTTTGCTAAAATATAAACTAGCACTTATTTTAGAACAAAATGTCAAAAAATTGATTTTAATATTATTCAAAAAGTTGTTCTCTTTCTTTTTTGGTGAATGTATAAAGCATATTTTACACTTAGAAATGTATTAAAAATCTAAATTGCCAATATTATTTATCATAGCAACGCCATAGCAACTTCAAACGTAGTTATTGTTTGTTTTATGAGCCGGGATAGCTCAGTTGGTTAAAGCGCTGCTATAAAGTTCAGAATAATTATTAGCCTTAGCAGCAGGATTGCAGGTTCAAATCCCGGCTCCGCCTACTCAGCGTATGAGTAGTACCTCGTACTACCTTCGTACCTCGGTAGGAAGGGAACTCGTCTCGATTAGCTCTGCTATTACAATGTTTCCTTCTCGACTAGTAAATAAATAATCTAGCCGAGTAAAAGAAAATAATCGTTTAATCGTTTATAAATAATCGTTTATGAAAAAATTTACAAAAAAAAAAAAAAATTTCTTATCTATCTTATTTTTGTATCTTGACTATAATGCTTCTATAAGCTAATTGTCTACTTCATTTTTAAAGAAATTTATTTTTAAAGATTTTAGGATTTTAAAACATTTAAAAAAAAAAAAATTATAAAACGCGTCTTCAGTGTGGTACCACCTTAAGAGTTTAAGGTTATCTGTGTAACATCAACCATCTTTTTTATGAAGATTTTTTATTACAATTTTGTTAAATCTAAAAGTTAAATTAGTTGGAACGTATTATATACGTATAATAACGTATTAGTTGATTAATCTTTTTGCTATGATTTATTTATTTTATGAAATCTTTTTATTATTCTGGCATAAGTTGGTTTTCATTGACTTTTTTTTTCAATGCTGTATTTAAACAAGGTAGTTTTTTACTTAATCAGAAAAAATATAATTTTCATTGAACCACGAGCCTGGGTGTCTTTTATTTTTTTTAACATTTTTTTACTTTTATAATAACTTTTTCGAATATCTGTCAGGCCCCTGTCAAAATTACGGATAGAGCAAAGGTATGTCTGTAATGATACGGCTATAAACAATTATGAAAGTCTGTATATAAATATAACAAATCAATTATAGTAATAAATCTAAAGTAATAAATCATACCAAATAAGCAGTAAAAATGTTTTCATTTTGAAAAGACAACTGTATTTGATTATCGTTGGTTTTGAAATAAAAAAACGCGCTAGGAACAAAAATTATTTGTTAACATCAGTTTCACTGCTTGTTGAGTTTATCGAGTTTTATATGGAGACTGTATAACTATCTTCTCAGTGAGAAAGTTATTGAAAAAAATGTATATTTATTTAATTCGATTCAAAGTCTTGTGGTTTTAACAGAGTTCACAGGCGATTATGACTGAAACGCATAAAAAATTTAGCAATATCCGAAACTCACATTTTTAATTTTTTATGAGTAAAAAGTTTTCCACAAAACATAAATATATTTTAAAAATCATTAACATAAAAGTATATAACTTTAGAGTTATTGTATCTTCCCAGTGTCCTGTGACCATTTCCCCCCCCCCCCATATTTTTCTCCTACCCGAAAATATGTACTGAGACAAACTTTACCGACGGAAAGTTTGTATAAAATAAATTCTATGGGAACATTATTTCTTTCTCTCTTACGATAAATATTCCCCTATGAAATTTTACTAAAACTGTATTTTAAAAAAAAAAATCATAATTATTACTTTGCAGCTTTTTTTTATTTTTTCATAAATAATTAATTTTTTATTTTTAGGGATTTTCTCATTTATTGAAACTCTGGAACTCTAAAAAGTTCAAGAATTAAATATCTTGTAAAAATAAAAATTGATTTATCAATTTATGAAGAAGCTGTTATCAACTTACAAGCTAATGCAAAGATGAAGGAAATAAGAACTGGTTTGCAAGTAAAACGATGTGAAAAAGATTTAACTGTAGAAGTTAAAGAAAACTTGAAGAGACTATATTTTATTGGATAAGAAAGCAAATTTACAATTCGAACAAATTTAAACTTGCACCTGATGATGTGACTTACAACAAATACAGAAAGTGAAAAATTTAGAGAAAATCTCATGTTTCAAAAATGTTAACAAAGCAAGCTTCAAATCAAGAAAATTAGAAAATGATATTTTTATTTAACAAAAACATTGCATATCTGACTTTCTTTAATCAGAGCCGACGACGCCGGTGGCTTCCCCTTCGTCGTCGTTTTTTTATTTTTTATTTTAAAGAAAATTCTAGATATAGAGGGCTTTTTTAGAAGTAGACTATGATTGTGCCCCTTCACTTCAAAACCCGTGTTGTTGTTTTTATTATTATTATTATTATTATTTTAGAAATATATAAAAACAAAACAAGGTAACGTTATCTAAATATTAATACTCTTATTAAATGTTTAATAGTGTCTTTTTTCAAGTAGTTTTAATTGTTATTAGGCTTTTCATAACTTTAAAGACCGCGTTGTCAAAAAGGATTGCGGTCATTAACTTTCATAATGGGTGGTTTTGGCGTATGAGATTTCGGAGCTATCTTTATAGGGGATAAATGAACAAAAACTAAAATCTCAATTGATAAAAGAATGCTTTTACTTTTCTTCTTAATTAATAAAATACAATGAATAATTTTTTAGATAGAAAGCAATTGTAAAAAATGAATAATAAACCATTGCTTATCTACAAGTTGCACTTTACACGAGTTACGGATCAGAGTAAATAAACAGTACCCTTGATTAAAAACTAAAATAAAAAGCGAAACGTTTTGTTATCAAAACTTTATTGGATTCTAGAAAAATCTCACCTTCAACTACCTCTTTAACTATAAAAGATTTGCACCCTTCTATCACTTTATCTATTTAAAAAAAGTTTACTTCAAATATAAGAGAATGCAGTTTAGAACAGAAAAATTGATGCAGTTATTAAAAATTGAATGCAGTATCGGACAAAAAATTGCTGGAAAAGTTGTGACTGTTAAAACGAATTTTATTTAACCTGGCGTTAACGTTGCCTGTTAGTTATGAAAATCTTATGGAGAACAAATTTGTCTTTCTGCAGTTTTGTTTAAAAAAGATTTCACATATCTTTTACTTTGAAATTTTTTACTTTTGAATTGATAGTTTTAAAAAAAATGTTGATATATCCTTTCGTTGTAATTATTTATAAAAAAGACTTCCATGATGCAAAGGGAAAAATATCATGACTTCAATAAAGGCATTCTCAAAGTAAAAAAGACTAATTTTCTATGTCTTGTCAAACTAAACTTATTTCAGTACGCCTTGCTTTTAAAAAAATGTAGAAAAATATATATTCTAAAACAAAGGAAACAAAAGAAAAAAGGTCCTCGTTTTCCGACATTTGCCGACTGCCAACTATAAATCCAATTTTGCCGACTCCAGATTTCAATTTGTCGACTAATAAAATTTATATAGGGGCTAGACACCCCCTCCCCCTCAGGGCGGCTCTGGTGTTGAAGTTAAAATTTGCAGATTGAACTTTAAATTGTGTACAGCCTATTTCTTTATCTGTATCTATATCTTTAAATTGTGTATCAATGTGTCAATTTGAGGATGCCCGTTCTTGAAAAATATTTTGGGATATCTTTTTTAATAAATAGGATAATCTCGATGAAGGTCAGCTTTTTCAAAAAGTGTCACTAAAAATGCTATTCATACGACAAAAAATATTACATGTGCTTTTGGAAACTAGTAAAATATGGACCATAACTACCAAAATATGGACCATAACTACCAAATTTTTTTAGTTATTTTATCTAAAGCTCAATTACCAGTCACAGTGGAGCAGAGAGACCGCCGGCTTTTATGTCGTGTCAATTAAACGAAACTTTTTTTATTTATTAGTATTTATTTTATAATAATAGAAAAAGGTTGTTTTTAAAATCTAAACCAAGTGCTAAGAGTCCCAAACGGGGCAAAAGGGAAAATTGAGGGAGTTATTTCATTAGAGGATCTAATAAAAAATATAAAACTATTATTTTTTTATTTTTTTATCAATCTTTTTTATTTAATTTATTTAAATGAATTGAATAAAATTTAAAAAAATTAAATGAATAATATTTACCTACTGACACATAGAACATAAAGCACCTAAACATTACTAACTCTTCTTCCGTTAAAGTCAATCACAGAAGAGAGGAGTTTTCCACCATATTCTTTGTTTGCAACTTGTCGTTTAAACCTGTTCCACGTTGGTTTGAAATTTGAGTGAACTGTTTCTCCGCATTGTTCAGCAAACTTGTATAAACCACATTTGTGGTATTCAACAAAAGGTTGCAGAGTATATGTGCTTTCCAAATAATTAAAAGTTTTTTTCCCAGAATATCTACAATTTCTTGAGCAAATAAAAAGGAGTTCTTAAATTTTAGAATGGCCTGCTGATACCCAAGCTCAAGTGTTCTACCAAAACAAGAATCTTTTACAATCTTAAAGTCTTTTAAACATTGAACAATTAGTAGAAGATCAGGATATTCATACAAAACAACTCTTTCTAACTCATCAACACGCTTTAGTATTTGGTTTGAATTATTCCCATCCTAACCTCTACCTTAGAACACCACTATTTTTGAAAATTATTAAAATCTAGATAAAGATCCAATAATAAACATCCCAGTGTTGTTGCTATTTCTGTCAGGATATGTAATTCAGGGAAGGTACTAAATGCTGAATTGATATATCTGGATCTTCATCGAAGTAGATAATTCTTGGATATATATATATATATATATATATATATATATATATATATATATATATATATATATACATAAATATATAAATATATATATATCTATATATATATATATATATATATATATATATATATATATATATATATATATATATATATATATATATATATATATATAAATATATATTTACATCAGTTTTAGGGACTTATTATTTAATGTATATTATATAATATACATCTACATATTTACAAATATACGTATATATATATATATATATATATATATATATATATATATATATATATATATATATATATATATATATATATATATATATATATATATATTTATATATTTATGTATATATATATATATATATATATAAATAGAGAGAGAGAGAGACTTATTGTTTTTTTCAATATTTACATACTTTAGCAATCTTTACTTCGAACCTCGAAGAGGTTTTCCAGCTTTTAGTAGGTAGAGATTTCTCTGACATCTAGAACATACATTGGGGGGCAAAAAAAAAACTACACTAAATTTTTTTCTTCATTTTAAGTATAAAATGTATAATCAATCAAAACAAAAAAAAATGTGGCAGTGAAAAATTTAGGATAGAAAAGATATGTTTATGTTTAAACTAATATTTATATAAATAAAGTCTTTAAAAAACATATTATTATGAACACATTTAATATTTTAGAAAACATCTTAAAGATGTAGAAATTGGACGAATTATTGAAGCTGCTGACCAAGGAGAATCTCACAGAAGCATTGGAAAGCGTTTTTAACGAGAAAACTCAACTATTAGTAGATTGGTGAAGAAATATAAACACACTGGTAAAACTGAAAGGGTTGTTGGATCTGGGAAAAACTTCAAAAAAAGGAGATCGCTACATTCTTAACGCTGTCAAAAAAAATCGTAAAATCACTCGTTCTGAGATAAAACTAGATTTGAACCTTACTATTATCTCAAAGTGGATAATATCTCTCAGGATTAAAGCATCAAATAATTTTTTTTCTAGAAAGTAAATTAAAAAACCCTTTGTTAGTGAAATCAATCGAAAAAAGCGTATAAAGTGGTGAAATAAGCACAAAGATTGGACATGTAAACAATGGGCTTAAGTTATCTGGAGCAATGATTCTCCGTTTGTTTTGTATTATAATGGTTAATCTCACTGTTGAAAATTAATTAGTAAAAAATTCAATCCTCAAACGTGCAAGGCAACTATTAAACATGACAAAAAGATTAATGTCTGGGGTTGTTTTAGTGCACACAAAGTTAGAAAACTTTACCGGGTGAAGGGCATCATAGGCCAGCATCTGTATCACAAAATCTTAGTTAATCAGCTTGGACCAAGTATAAAAGAACTTATTCCTAATGATGACTACATCTTTCAAAAGGATAATGATCCAAAACATACAGCACGGTTGAATGAAAGATCTCTAGAATCTAAATTGATACTAGTTATGTCTTGATACTAGTTATGTCTTGGCCAGCACAGTCCTGATTTAAATCCAATAGAAAACCTTTGATCTATTTTGGATAAAAAATTGCAAGGTCATAGGGCAACAAATAAAGATGATCTGTTCCAAATTCTTCTTGCTGGTTAGAATGCTTTGCCAAATGACTTATTAAAAAGACTTGTAGATAGCATGACTTCTAGATGCGCGGAAGTCATAAGAAACAAAGGATGGCCAATATATATATATATATATATATATATATATATATATATATACATATATATATATATATATATATATATATATATATATATATATATATATATATATATATATATGTGTGTGTATATATATATATATATATATATATATATATATATGTATATATATATATATATATATATATATATATATATATATATATATAATAGTTACACGGAAATCGTGTTTTACGGAGCCGAATGTTAGGTAGCGTCAAACAAACGTTTTTTTTGTGGTGTTTCTTTTTAGAAACATATATAAAACTAGATATTTTTCTGAAAGAAGAAGGGTTAATCTTGATTTTTATATCGCTTTTAATGTATGGTTACTAATTTTTTATGGTTTGTTATGGTCCTGAAAGTTTAGGATATATTCACATTAATGAAAGTTTAGTATATTCTCACATTAATTTATTGTAGAAGAAATATTGAGCCAGCTTATTTTTTTCAAATGTACTAGTATGTAGTGGTATGTATGAAGTAAAAAATGTAGCAAAAAAAATAGTAGTAAAATAATAAAAAATGTAGAAAGTTGAATCAAATTTTATTATTGATTCAAAAAAAAAAAAAGGGAGCAGATAGTTTACTATGTGTTATTCTATATATAGCACTTTTTTAGGTAGCCTTTGGCTTTTTTTGAGGTATTTTTTTTTAGAAACACATATAAACATAGGATATTTTTTAAAAGAAGAAAGGTTAAGCTTGATTCTAATATTATTTTCAAGTAAGTTTTTCTAACTTTTTATGAATTTTTTTGTTGACAATTTTCCATGAAAATTTAGTGGAATTCTCACATTAATTTCGTATCGAAGAAATGTTGAGCCCGCTTTTTATTATTTATTTTACTTTCTACATGTATTTTCTTTTTATCTGCCAAATTTCAGCCAAAAAAAAAGAAAGCAGATATTTAACTAAGTGCAGCACCTAATTTCTATTTTTATGAATTTTTTTCGGTAACAGCAAACTATATAAATAGGAGGCGGATAGGGGGGCCACTTCTTTGAAAAAAAAAAATTTTTTTGGCATAATTTTTATTTTTATTATTAGATAACAATAAAAATGGAAAAAAAAAAAGAGTTTCAAAAATATATAGATTCCTTAACAGATAGTAAGCAAATTTTATTTTTCATAATTATATTATTGATAGGTATTTTTAAAACAATAACATAAATGTTAAAAACCTTACTCTTTTTGTTTATCTTGGTAAGATAATCTTAAGTATAAAAAGATTAATGTATTAGATTAAAATTTTTTGATTTTATTAATAGATAAAAGTTTCACAGATTCATTAAAACACCCTAAATGTATAAAAATTTGTTGTTAGACAAATAAGTATTAAAATTACTTATTTGTATATTAACAAATACTTTGTTAAAAATAAATTATTTTATGATTTGTATAATTTGCTTCTTTTCTTTTAATTTCTTCAGAAGTTTTTAGTTTGTCTCACTCATTTACGCCTTATCAATGGAAACTTGCAAACATAACACCTATCGCTAAATTACCAAACCCAAGTAACTGGTCAGATTTCCGCCCAATCTCACCCGCATCCTACCTCTGCAAGACATTAGAAAGAGTTATAGCCAAATTTATTATCCAACATACTCAAATCTTAGAAAACAACAAACAATATGGGTTCCTACCAGGTAAAAGCACAATGGATGCAATCGCATGTGTCATAGAAGACTGGCATTTTGCTAAAGATAAAAAGAAAAATTTAATTGCAATATTCTTTGACTGCTAAAGCCTTTGACGTAATTGATCACGAACTTCTTCTTACCAAATTAACAATATTACCAAATTAACCTCCCTAAATGGCTTATTTCCTGGATTGCATTGTACCTAAAGACCAGATATCAGCAAGTTTATACTAACGGCATAGCAACAGAATGGCAACCTGTTGAAGCTGGAGTCATCCAAGGCATTACACTTGGATCCGTTCTTTTTATACTCTTCATACTCGATATAAACGATATATTTAACTGCAATACTGAACTTTACAAATTTGCTAATGACATCCTTGCATACATTGTTGGAGACCTAGCCTACTCAACCCTACTACAGGAAATATGCAACAAAGTTAATAGCTGGTGCATTAAAAACCAAATGTTATTAAACACAAAAAAATGAAAAATCATGAGCATACCTAATAACAAACTCGACACACGCCCACCACCAATTGTTTCCATCAACTCTAAAGCTCTCAAATATGTAACCTCATACAAATACCTAGAATTAGATTTAAATATTGAAATGAGCACCGACTAACAATGGCATCGTATCAAGCCCGAATTCTCCTCAGCTCAGTACCTAATTAGAAGTCTAAAAAAATAGGCTTTCACAATGAATTACCAGTAACAATATACCAAAGCATTGGATTTAGCCACTTGATCCACTGTGCACCATTACTGTGTGCAAGCAGTAACAAAATAAAGCACGAAATACAGCAAATACATCTAAAAACGCTAAAATCTATAGGCATTAGTCCAGAAATCGCCAGAACAAAATATAACATTGAAAACACCGACACATATATTGACAATATATGTATAAAAATCCTAAGGCGTATTCTACGAAACCCAAATCATACGCTAAACATTAAGACAAAAAAAAGATCCAAAATAAAATATCAACTTTGGTTTCAAGATAGGTTTACATACCCAAAGAACATTGTTTACATACGGTTACGTTACGGTTTACATACCCAAAGAACATTGCGTCTTATATGAGATGGGAAGCGTAACTTCTATACTAGTTAATCAAAGCAACTACAAACTAACAATTTATGTATGCATATATGTGTGCATATATATGTATAAATGTAAAAAATTCTGTAATTTCTAAATTTTTAGACCATTGAATTTAAATAAAAGATATATAAAGTAAAGTCTTCAAATTAAGTTAAGATTTATTCTTAACAAATATATTTTTTAATGTTTAGTTTAAAAATGATATAAAAATTACACTCATCATCTTTATTATTTTCCTGTTGTATACTACTTCTTCTTTTAAATATTATTTAAATCATTATACAGATATGTCTAATATTTGCTTCCTGTTTAGATCCCATTACTATTATTATAGATTTCTTGAGATTTCGTAAGTATAGTTCCCATAATATTTTTGCATTAACTCAATATTTCTAAAGTTATTTTAAATATAAGATTTTTTATTTTTGTCTAATACCTTTTTTTTGACGTACATTGATTTATATATGTTTATTGTTTACATAAGTAAATACCCATTCCTAATGTTAGCTTCTTATTTATACTCATATAATTTTCATATTTTAATTTTTTAGTTGTTATTTTTTTGAACTTACTTTTGACAATTACAAGGTGTTATTTTTTATTGTACAACTTTTTAGTTACGTTTAGTTGAATCAACAAGGTCTACCATTGGTAAGTTTGTATATTAAACTTCTTTTAGGAATCATAGTAATAACAGTTTAAACATGTGTGTCTACGTTTAACTTATATTTTGTTTATTCGTCTCTCCTTTCATCACTTGCTATAGTTATAAATTTTGAAAACCATTAATTTTTATTCTGTGAATATATTTAATGTTAAACTTATTTATTTTTGCTGTGTCTTATTACTTTTTTAACTTTAGAACCATCTTCACCTGGTACAGTTGGTAAGTTCTAAAAACCTGTTATGCGTTCCTTATCAATGCAACATTTTTATAACTTTTAACCTTAGTTCCAACTTTAACTGCAACAAGTGCTAAGTTTAAAAACAATTACTGTTTAATATGTGTACGCATTTCTCAACAATTGCAATATTTATTTTCTATTAAAGCTTTTTAAACTGAGGAATATCCTCATCTGCTACAATTGGTATATTTAAAATACTTTCCTTTCTAATATGTGTATGCATTTTTCATCAATTGCGTTAATTGTTTTTTATTAACTTTTTTACCTTAGTTTCATCGTCGTCTGCGTCAAGTGGTATGTCTAAATAATATTACTTGTTAATACGTGTATCCATTATTCATCATTTGCTATATTAATTTTTTATTACAACATTTTAACCTTAGGACCATGTACATCATTTACGATTAGTAAGTTTTAAAAATTTTACCTTCTAATTGTGTATGCATTTTTCATTAATTGCAATTTTTCTTATTACAACTTTTTAACCTTAGGTTCATGTTCATCTTCAACAACTGGTATTTTTAAAAACTATTATTTTTTAATGTGTGGGCATTTCTCAGCAATTGCAATATCTTTAAATGACAATTTTTTCTACAATTAGTTCCACCTGCTCAACCTTCTGCTGGTAAATTTATGTATGTAATTTGAATGGTTATCAAATTTTTATTATTCCTATTAATATACCCTGTTTAATACATTTATATTGTGTTGTCATTTAAATTCTCATAAAAGGAAAATCAATAGAAGTCTTTAAATTTCTACTTTTGTTAAAAATTTGTTCAACTATCAGTGATTTATTAAACTTTAAAAAGTTAAAAATTTATATTAAGTGTTACATAATACCATTTGTTACTAATATAATTATTAATTACTTGCTTTTAGAGCTTACATATGAAGCCTACAGGATTTACAGGACCCAGCATCTTGGACCCACAAGCAACAAGTCATATTTGCTCGACCCGGTTGGGGGCAAAGACGATCCCCTTTTTAGATGGCGCTATTATTCTCCAAACAGGGGTGCTGGGGACAGCAGCAGAGGTACTGCAAGTGGTCGTGGCAAAAGAGGTCGACAAAAGTGGAGTGGTGGCAGCCATTATGTTAACTTTAATATAAACAATTAAAAAGTTAACATGGTGCCACCATTCCTTTATTTTTCTTCAATAATATATAATATTAGTTAATTTGTTTTCCTTATTGTCCCAATTTTTACATTAAATTATTCTTGTTTTTTTTTTTTATATTCACCTTAGTTTTTTGCCAAAATAATTTTATTAATTAATAAGTGTAGTAGTTGCAATAAATATTTTGCATGTTTTTAATGTTGTTTGTGATAAAATAAATCTAAAAGTGGTACCCATAAATAATTACCACTTTCAAATGCAAATAAAGTGTCATATAATTTTATAACCTATATTAAATGCAAGTTTTAATTTATGAGTATCATTTTAAATGTTAATTGTTATTAAATGTCTCGAGTCTTTGGCGTACTAATTTATTTTAAAATAATTGGGCTTATATTTACAGTTCTTAAAAAATTGATTTGCATTATTCAGATTTAATTATTAGTTGGACCTTGTTGAACAATAGTTTATTAACACGATTTAATTTTATTCATTAATGGAATTGAAAAATTAAATCATTCACTAAAAGCCAAGACAAAATTTAATTACATTTTTTATTTTAAAATACTTATTGTTTTTGTGTGTTTTTTGTGTAGGTTAGAGTGGGTAATCAGCAGGGTTGACACACCAAAAACCCAAGAGCAAAAACCCATAAAAAACCCAACTTAATGGGTTTTTGGTCTTCGGTAACCCAGCTTTATGGGTTTTTGTATTTATAATATTTTTATTCATAAATTATTTTCGATTCACACTCAAGATTTGATGCTGCTAAAAAATTGTTATAAAATTAAAAGTTTCGTGAATCATAAATGAGATTTTATTTTACTTTGAGTAGAAATATTCAAACTTAAAGGTTTAAAAAAAAGTTATTTAACAACTTAGTCATCAGCAATAGTTGATCTATGTAAATTCGTACAAACATTTTTTCTTTTCCTTTTCCTAAAAGATGCCTAATTTTCCTAAATATCCTGATTCCCAAAATCAGGCTTCATTTAACCATTCCTCAGCTTCTTCTTCTTTACTTCTATCCAAGGTTTTTTTTAGATAGTATTTAGTATTTATTTTAATTTGATCAGATGCAAGTTTTTAATTTTTTTTACAATTTTATAGTTACCTTTACATTTTAGATCTGTTAAGTTGGTCAGAAAATGATATGAAACAATTGTTTTCTTTAACCTCTGTATAATATCATCTTTGTATCGTCTTGGATACAATTAGCAATTATAAAATCACTACTAAATGTACTCCAATCATCTTGAATTAGGATAACAGCACATTCATCATTAAGATCACATTTCATTATATTGATTATTTCTTCGTTTAACTTCACTAAGAGTTCTGAAGATATCTGTTTTCTATTCTATAGGTAGTCAAGTCAATTTTTTTTTTACTATTTGAATGCACTGATCTCAAAATATAACTGGATAGCGGATTCTATTGTTTTTTCCGAAAAAAGTTGAAGCCAAAATTGGCCTCCCAAGATGGCGGCGATTTAAGTTCCTAGCGCTGAAACCAATATAGATTTTTATGGCCTTATCAAACTACGATAAAAAATATATTTATAAATGTTTAAATAAAGTCAAAAATAAAAGAAAACAAATCAATTGTATAAATATTAGAGAAAAAAAAAATTATTCCTTGAAAAGTCAATTTATTATTAAATCGCTTTAATTTAAATTTTGTGTATAATTTATGTACCTTTTAGTTCTTAGTTACTCAGTTACCATATGCTAGAAGGTTAATAACGTAACAGCATGGTAAGCAGCAATCATCTCTACCTCCAGTTTTATATTTTTTTATAGCAAGATACCATTTTGTACAAATGCTGCATGAACTATTAACTGAGTCAGTATACAGGGGTATACAAACTCAGGGGTTCCTTCTAGAATTATATTATAATTCTATTATTGCATAATTTATTTGAATGAAAAATTCTAAAGTTTCACTTTTGCAGGTAAAAAAAAACAACAAAATCTGAATTAGTTACTTATATCAACTTTAAAAAAAAAAACAAAGTAAATCATTTCTTATAGTTTAAAGGATAATCACTCAATAGAATTGAGCATGTATCTAACAAACTTTACATACATCCTCAATATAAGCTCAGTCAAAACCATCTAACAATTTCTTTATTGTGCTGTGAGATCTTATTTAGCTGTGAGATCTACAACAATATTTAACGACAATATCAAATGCCAACAGTTTACAGCCACATTAAACAACTCTTGATGTGAATTAGGTTTCAATTTTCAAATGGAAACTGTAGCATCAGAGATAAAACTCATATTTCAAAAGTTGTAGACAATTCTTTTGCTCACGCCAATACTAAAATATCTGACTAAAATTTAATTAACAAAAAAATATGATTTGTTGAAGAGAAAACCAACTAATAGTGATCACGAATATGCAAATATTCTAAATTGCAGCATTCTATCTAAATACAAAAAAGCTTTGATCTCATATTTGCCAGATATCTAGCTAAAATTGCATCAAAAAAGTATTTGCATTAAATTATATTTGCATTCAATATATATATATATATATATATATATATATATATATATATATATATATATATATATATATGTATATATATATATATATATATATATATATAGAAGTACAACCAAATAAAAAATAAAGTACATATAATTATATATATAAAGAATTCTAGAAAAAACCCCTGAGTTGTTTGTACTCACAGAGCTCAGCTAATAGTTCATGCAGCATTTGTAAATTTGGGATATCTATTTGAAAAACTAATTTATAATAGTTTATTTTAAAAAGATATTCAGCTGCCTACCATGCAGTTGTGTTATTAACCTTCTAGCACACAGCATTGAGTAGTTAAGAACTAAAAGGTACATAAATTTGTACAAAAGACAATAACAAACAATTAATTTATTTTAAAACATAAATTAAAAGTAAATAAATAAAAATAAAATATGATTAAAATTATTTCAGTTTTTCACATTTATAGTGATTATTTGAAAGTTGTTTAGAAATTGTTAAATTGGATAACTACTAGGTTCATATTTATTTTTTATTTGTGCTGATAGGTTATAACTAGTTATGAAATATTAGTGGAACCTACCCAGTGGGCACGCGGACGGCTTTAGGACGTCTTTAAGACGTCCGGATCGGACGTCTTAAATTGGTTGGATTTGGAAATACAGAAAGACGTCCTGCGTGGAACGTTTTAAAGACGTCGTAGAAGGAACGTGAAAAAGACGTCCTGAGAGGAACGTAAAAAAGACGCCTTACGAGGAACATAAAAAAGACGTCCCGATAGGACTAAGAAATTGAGTTCAGTTTAAGTTACAGTTTAGAAATAATGAAAAACATTAGGTATAAATAGGTCTTATTTGGTGCGTATTTTTTTATACGTTAATTTTTAGACTTATTAATTTCAAATACCATTAGAAAAACAAGAATTCAACACAAAAATTAGTAAAGTGAAATTTATTTACAGAAATAAATTACAAATTAGGTTCGATGCATTTATCACTTCCACTATCGGCAATTTCTAGCACCAAATTTTTTCGATCTGGACCACGTTTAAAAATGTTGCCAGCAAATTAATGAACTTCATTCTAGAAACACAGTCTAATAAATAAGCTATAATATCTTATACAAAATTTTCAAAGTCAACTTTTGCAACTAATTAAATTAGAGTTCACAGTTGATTTTTGTGCGAGTGTGAGTTTGCAGTATTTAAAAATTTGTCAAAACTAAGCATAAAAAATACAATACAAAATATATTACATTAACAGGTATACCTATAATTGTCTTCATTAAATTTGTTTCACGAAAACTCTTTTTTTTACCAGCTAAGTTAAATAAACTCATCAGTTTATTTCACATTAATCTAAATAAACAAATGACAAAAATAAAATCAGATCAAATCATAAGCAGTTTAAAAATTATGAATATAAGTTCATTTACAAGTCCAAATTACCCAGCCAGGATTTGGTCCAAAAAGAACGTTTTTCAGAATCAAATGCGGGCCAGGTATGTTCTGCTAAAATACATTTAAAAAGTTTTTTTAGCAGAATACAATTTCCAAACTTATAACATATAACATTCTACAATTATATATCACAAATGTGTTTAAGATTTACATCCATGTTTCCACATTTGTATGGTTTTTTTTAGTATTTCTATGGTCTATTTGTTAGTATTTCTTCTATTTTAACTCGTGCTGTTAATAAATCATTTTCACTCATCAGTTTATCAATTTTTGACAAGTTTTCAAAGTCTTTACGCTCTAATTCTGACACTCTGGTAATTAAATCTTCAGAATGTTTTCAAGAAACATAATCAATTTTTGGTGCCATATCAATATATTAAGTTTATAAAGTAAATATCATTATGAACATTTCCATTTCTGTGCGTGGTTTTTCATTTTTCTTTGTTTTAGCAATTAAAAGCTGGGACTTTATGCAATATGCATACTAATTTGATTTTCTTAAAGAACAATTATAACAAAAATATTTTTATCATATTTTAGATTATCTGAATAAATTAAATATAAATATTTTTACAATTTTATTTTTTTGAGTAATAATATCGCTAATATTTATGTTGATTAGAATTAAATGAGAGTAAATTGGAGATCGCTAGTTTTATTTTTATGAAAATAAAAGTAAATACATATACGAGTTTCCGTGCGTGATTTTTTGGAAATGCCCATATATATATATATGGGCAATTTTTAAAACCCCATACTCTAGCTAGAAATAATTGATGACTCCCGTTTCTCATCGAAAATATATTAAATATGAGTCGCAGAAGTATAATATTTCAGTTGAAATACTCACAAGCAATTTATTTTCATAAAAATAACTACATGAAATTGACAAATTTGCAACATCCGTGCTAGATCATTCATAAACTGAATTTAAACGATTGCTGTGACTCTATGATTCATAGTACAATCCTGTAACTTTCTGGAAATCTTTACTAATGTTTAGAATATTATTTTAAAAAAAAGTATACCGGTGAAACTTATATTTTCCGAAGAATTAAAGTTTATTTATCTAGTAACTAAAATAGAAGTTTTTCTATTTTAGTTACTAGATAACATTTCAAACTTTATTTATTCTTTTTTAACATTACTAATGCTGACTACTTTTTGTTTACAAAATATTTATATTGATTAGAATTAAAAGAGAGTAAATTGGAGATCGCTAGTTTTATTTTTATGAAAATAAAAGTAAAAACATATACGAGTTTCTGTGCGTGATTTTTTGGAAATTTTTTAATATAATTTATACATAACTTAATATATTAAGTTTAAAAAGTTTTTTTCTTTTTTTTTTTATTACTATTATAAAAACACGCCTGCCATCTTTAATTGCACATTCTTTACATATAGCATTTTGAAATATCAATATTATTATATACCAAATGACCTAATGTTTCACTGAAGTTCATATTTTAAGCAAGGTCTTCTGATATTATCAGAAAACTTGAAGTATTAGAAAAGCCATGAAAGTAACAAAAGTAGTATGACATTAAAATAAAAATTTACAAAAAATACTGGCTAATTTACATATCAATACACCGATTTTAACAAACATAATTTTAAGGATTATCTTATTAGAGCATTTCTGTTTTGAATGTTATTTTTATTTCACAAGATAATTTTTTTTTTTAGATTGAGTTTTTCATTTATTTTACCAACAAAAAAGATTTTCCTTGTTGATATTTTTCGATTATCTTTTTATAATTTTTTCTAAGTTTTTATAATTTGGTAAGTTAAATATTTATAAAAAGAATCAAGTCATTATTTTCGTAGATGCTTTGGAACCATTATCTCGTAGATGCTTTGGAACAAATTTCCTCTTTATAATTTTAAATTTCATCGTAAACCCAAAGATCATTTTGTAGAAAGGCAATGTTATGAAGCAAAGCAAAATACAATAATGTTTATAAAATTTTTAGTTTATATTTGTAAAGGAATATTGCAAACAAATTCCGAAACAACCTTCCACTGTCAAACCTATGCTGATAATATGGGGCGTTGTCCAATAACATGGATGTGCTGATAAGCTTTTTAAATCTGTTTAATGGCTAAGTTGGTAAAAACTCGTGATCCTTCAACAGATCAAGTCCACTGATTACAAGCAGACAAAATTTCTTTTGAAAGAACTATAAGTACTTGTCAGTTACAAGAAAAATATACTTTATTGTTTCGATACAATTTTGCATTTTCTCCCTCAGAACATGTTACTGGATATGCTCCATCTATTGTTCCAATTTATCCTGGAAATCGTCAAAGTCTATAAAATCTAAAAAATTAAAATAATACTGTTTATATATAAAAACAACAACTTCAATTTCATAAAAAGAAGCAATAGGTGATATACAAGATGTTATTAATAAAATTATAAGCATATGTGTGTGTAAGTATATACTTACGTATATACACACACATATACTTTTGATATTAGTAATAACATCTTGAATATCACCTATTGCTTCTTTTTATGAAAATGAAGTTTTTTTTATATATAAACAGTATTTTTATAATTTTTTAGATTTTACATTTATATATATATATTTTATGTGTTTCTCTTTATGTAAGTTTATCAGGAAGATGAACCTACAGTAGTACTTCTACAGGTTCATCTTCATCTTCCTGATGAGCTTACAGAAAGACAAAAAGTGTTTCTACTAGTTTATATATATACATATATACAGTGCTCGAAGATATATATATATATATATATATATATATATATATATATATATAATTTTTTTTTTTTTTTATGTTGATTTAGGTGCCCCAAGAAGTCCTTACGGTCTTATCACAGAGCACCGCGGAAGAGCATTTAATAGGAAGTTCACGCCTCCTTCCCAACCGATGTCGCAAAACTTGCCCAGAAGTGGGTTTGAACCATGGATCTTACGTTTCTGAGGCAAGTGCGCTACCACTGCGCCACGGCTGCTATACCACTGCGCCACGGCTGCTAATATATATATATATATATATATATATATATATATATATATATATATATATATATATATATATATATATATATATATATATATATATATATATATATATATATATATATGTATATATATATATATAGTTATGCAGAAATCGCGTTTTACGGAACTGAATTTTGTGCGGCGTTTATTAAACATTTTTTTTGAGTAACGTCAGACGAACATTTTTTTATAGGTGTTTTCTTTTAGAAACTTGATTATTTTAAAAAAAAGAAGAGTGTTAAACTTGAGTTTTATATCACATTTATTTGATATAAAACTCAATGGTAATGGTTGGTGAATTTTGCATTGAGTTTATTGATATTGAAAATATCCATAAACTCAATGCAAACGGTGGATTTCTATTAACTTATTTTTATAATGTAATATTTTGTTTAGATATTTCGATATAGACATACAGTAACTTGTTTTATATTTACTAGTTTCCAGTTAAATATGAATTCTTATTCGCCACTGTATATATGCATGTGTGTATGTATCTTGTAAAAAAGACTCCATATTTAAGTATGGAGTCTTCTTCATGTTTCAAAGTTACTTTCTTTATAAAGTTTACACCCCTTCAAATTGAGGGGGTGTAAACTTTATAAGAGATTATTGAATCAAATTTGAAAATCGTTGATCAATATAAATAGTTTTAGGGTTTTTGTTGTTCTTAGTCTCCAATCACCGCAATTTTTTGCATAGCATCCTCATATATATGAACATACTTAAATATGGAGTCTTCTTCATGTTTCAAAGTTGCTTAGCTCAAACATCAAAAGTTGTCTACGGCCTTGAAAACTCAAGGCCGTAGACTTAGCTGCACTGTTTTGCGGAAGATCAGATTTTTAATGCTCTTTTGATAGCCGGCTTATTTTTTCTCTTAAAAATAGGGAAAAATTTTTAAGGAAAGATAATTTTTTAAATTTAATTTCTCTTTTTCAAGGAAATCTTTACCAGTGCTGATTTAAGGGCATTAAATAATTTTTCCCTTGAAAATAAAGGAAGATTTTTTTGAGTGTACCAAACAATTGTACTTTAGTACTGCTATGTAATTTTAATAAACATTGAAATTCTATAATACACATAAAGTAAATATCAAACACTAAAATAATATAGCATATCAGTTAATTGCAACTACTTTTTAAAAAGCCACAAAGCAAACGTGCTTTCAAAGTATAGACAAAATCTTAATTTAGTTATAAGATGATAAAAAAAGCCACTTGAGCATTATATTTTTGAATTTAAATAATAGTTTTGTTGTCAAAGAGTAGTTAAGGTCAACAATTATGTTAACTTAAAAAAAAAATTTTTTTAAACATTTTATGTTAATAATAATATGATGGTTATATCAAAGAAATTTAGAAAAAAAAAAAGACTTTAAAAACAAATTTTGGACATTTTACTCACAAACCGTTTAAAAATATGTATAAAGTATGTAGTAATGTAAGTATTTTTTAAAAGTACTTTAAAAGTTTTTTGGTTTTTAGAACTATGAACATAATAATAAGTTAATTATATTCCTCCAAAAAACGCCAACCTAAACCTGAAAATTATTAAATCAATCTAAATGTAGTTAAAGCTATTCACAAAATATTCAATTTGGTTGTTAATTTATTATAATTATAAGAGGACGTTTCAAGCGCTTATAGTACTAAAGCTTAAAAATTTAAAAATAAATAGTTTAACTTCTGTTACATTTCAAAATTTATTAATCACATATTTTTATTGTAGTTCCCTATATGTACCCAATGTAATATTTATAATAATTAGTTAATACAATTAAAATTGATGCAGTGACGGATCTAGCATTTTATGGTGTTTGAGCTAATTGCCAGGCACGGAGTAAACTCCAAACATTTGTATTTGTATACTAATGTGAAATAAAGATACTTTACAAAAAGTTGCGATGATTGGAAGCTGAGATCAAAAAACCCCTAAATATTCATTCCCCTCCCCACTACCACCCTAAACGTGAGGGCAACAAGTTGATAAAATATTTTTTGTACTATTCTCAACAAGACTTTTATTCATCGATAAATTTTAGGTTTTATTGTATTATCTCTCAGCGTTTAAAAATTATGACTATATAAAGTTTAAACCCCCCTCAATTTGAGGTAGTTACAAGAATATATCAAATTAAATTTGATATATTTTTGTAATGAATATAAATTTAAGGGCATTTTTGTCCCCAGCCTCAAGGTTGATGACGAGCTAAATTCACCAAAATAGTGGAACATTAGTTTGACATAAACTGACCTAAAAAGTTTTTAAAAAAGTTGCTCTGAAATACAAATATCTATTAAAATTACATAAACAACAATAAAACTACATCATTAAATAAAAAACATGAATACATAATTATCTATTAAAACGATATTAATTTCTATTACAATTATATGTAATAAATGTATTAATTCTTTTATATTTATAAATATTTATTTACAATTTTACAATATATCCATTGTTTACATCACAACCAAATCACGATATAATTGAATTATATATTTATTATCAATACATAAAAACATGAAATTATTTTTTCACGGTTGAATAATTTATCTACTACAGCCTAAAATCCGTCAATCAAAATCACGCTATTATTATATTTAATTTATTTAACTATTTTATTATTAAATTTATTTTATATATTATAAACATAAAAATGTTATAGATAATAGCGTAATAGATTACGCTTTTATAATTTATGTTAAAAGCGTAATAGATTACGCTTTTAACATAAATTTTTGTTACAAAAATGATATATAACATGCAATAAAATACACCTTACAAAACTTTACTTTATATTTAATGTGTTATATATATATATATATATATATATATATATATATATATATATATATATATATATATATATATATATATATATATATATATATATATATACAATATTTTGTTTGAAAGTTTTAAATTTTTTAATATGTTTTATATGCATGTTATTTGTATACATTGATAATGTCATTGTATTCGAAGTTACGAGGGTTGTTCCAGAACTACCTAGCCTAACAAAGAAAACACAAAAATATTGAAAAAATTTATTTTTATTTTTCAACATAGTCCCTTATTAGATCGATACACTTTTCGCAATGATGTTCAATTGCTTCGATACCTTGTTTATAGTAAGAACCATCAAAACGCTGCAACAAGTTTGCATAATATGCGCCGTTGATGGTTTTTCCTTTTTAAAGATAATCAATGAAAATTATTCCACGCGCATCCCAAAAAACTGACGCCATAACTTTTCCAGCCGATGAAGTTGTTTTTGCCTTCTTCGGAGCCGATTCTCCTCTTTTGGTTCATTGTTTCAACTGCTCTTTTGTTTCAGGAGTGAAATGATGAGCACATGTTTCATCCATAACATAATTCGACACAAAACCTTGGCCTTATTTTTGTGAAACATCGCCAAACAATTCATCGAAACATCCTCTTGACGTTGTTTTTGGTCGATTGTGAGTAAACGCGGCACCCATCGTGCGCACAGCTTTTTTATGTCCAAACTTTCAGTCAATATGCGATGTACAGAACTTTTTGATATGCCTGCAATACAGCTAATTCGCGCACTTTTAATCGACGATCGTCCATTATTTTTTTTTGGATTTTCTTAACCATTTTTGGCGTGGTGACCTCACTTGATCGACCACTGCGGGGTTCATTTTGACAAGTCACACGGCCTCTTTTAAACCCTGCGACCCAAAATCGTATTAAAATGGTTCCTAACTATATCAGAAATAAAAGTCGAGGTACCAACGGAAACTGGCAAAATATGTCTCTAGCTATTGAAGCATATAATTCCAATGCTTGCAGCAAAAACCAAGCTGCTTTAAATTTTGGAGTTCCAGAAGCAACACTGAGAGGTTACCTTAAAAGGTCATCTGATCAGTTTCCAATCAGCAATGGAAGGTTTCCACCAGTCTTTTCAGTGTTCACATGGAAAAATCACTTGCAAATTATTTAATTGAGTTGAGCAAAAGATTTTTTGGTATGACATCAGTGCAGCTCAGAAAATTTGCATCTAAATTAAAAATGTTCAACATAATTTAAAGCGGGAATTAAAAATAGCTGGTCTTGATTGGCTTGATTTTTGAAGCGGCACAACAAAACGCGGCTTGATTTTCTGGACAATTTTCCTTCTGATTCTGTTGAATTTGCTCATAAATCTGGTTAAAACTGAAAAATAACAAAATTTCCCCCCAGAAAATTGTAATTATCAACAACAGTCAACATCACAGCTGGAGCTTGCTGCAGTTTCATCAGTATCGAATATACCATTAAA